GCCGGATCAGGAAGGATTGTTTGGGGCCTTGGAAGGAGGTGAGGGGGAGGTGTATGGGGCAAGTGTAGCATCTCCTGCAGTTGTAGGGTAAGGTTGGAGTTGCATGGGAGACACGGTGACTCAGTGGTTCACACCGTTGCCTCACAGCACCAGGGACCCGGGTTCAATTCCACCCTCAGGCAACTTTCATGTGGAGTTTGCACATTCTCCCTGTGTCTGCGTGGGTTTCCTCTGGGTGCTCCGGTTTCCTTCCACGGTCCAAATGTGTGCAGGCTAGGTGGATTGGCCATGCTAAATTGCACCTTAGTGTCCAGGGGATGTGTAGATTAGGTGGGTTTGGGGAATGGGTCTGGGTGGGATGCTCTGAGGGTCAGTGTGGACTTGCTGGGCCGAACGGCCTGTTTCCACAACTGTAGGGATTCTATTCAATGGAGGTACTGGGTGTGGTGGAGAAGTTGGTGGGGAGTGTAGAGCTGACAAGGGAGTCGCAGAATGAACAGTCCCTGTGGAAAGCAGACGGGTGGGGAGGGAAATATCTTTTTGGTGGTGGGGTCTGATTGTAGATGATGGAAATGTCAGAGGATGATGCGTTGGATTCGGAAGTTGTTGGAGTGGTACGTAGTATCTGGTTTTGTCAGGAGAACTCACAGTGACAGACTGCTGGATGACAATTATGACAATCTCATTGCAATTACTCTGAATTTATTTATCAGTTAATCTGTCAAAAGGATTTTCTTTATCAATTCCCTGTTATGAAAACTGGAGATTTCTCAGCTCGAAGGAACAGGCTGTCATTCATTAGACTTTGAAAGTCACAGAAGGATGAATAGCTGGGCACCTTTTTGCTTTAAAGCTAAACCTCCTGTAAAAAGCAAAATACTGCAGAAGCCAGCAGGCTGAAATAAGCACAGATGATTGTTGGCATGCTCAGTAGGCTGGGTAGCATGTGTGTGGAGGAAAACAGAACGAATGTTTCAGGAGAATGTTTCTGGGAATATTTGAGGGGTTATTGTACGTGATCATTTACGTGCTGATGGCAGAAAACCTGTCCACTTTGGGGGAATCAGGAAGGCAGCATAAGACAAGAGGAGAAACTGAGACTACGCTCATTGGTACACATGAGGATTTGATTTGATTTATTATTGTCACGTATACCGAGATACAGAGAAAAGTACAGTTTTGTGTGCTATCCAGACAAATCACACCTTTCATGAGTACATCAGGGTAATAGAACAGAATGCAGAAAATAGTGTTATAGCTACAGAGAAGGTTCAGAGAAAGATCAACTCTGATATATGAGGGATCTGTTCTTTAGGCTGATAACAGCGGGGAAGAAGCTATTCTTGAATCTGTTGGTATCTGTTATAAATTTTGTATCTCCTGCCCAATGGAAGAGGGTGGAAGAGTATAATTGGGGTGGGAGGGGGCTTTTACTATGTCAATAAAAACCGAAAGAACTGTGGATGCTGTAAATCAGGAACAAAAACAAAGCTGGAAAAGCTCAGCAGGTCTGGCAGCATCGCCCTCAGAAGGAAGGGTCACCAGACGCAAAACGTTAACTCTGTTTTTTCCTTCACAGATGCTGCCAGACCTGCTGAGCTTTTCCAGCAACTTTATTTTTGTTCTTGCTTTTACTATGTCGGTTGCTTTCCCAAGGCAATGGGAGATGTAGGTGGAGTCAATGGAAACAAGGTTGGTTTGTGTGATGGACTGGGCTGCGTTCACATCTCTCTTTAGTTTCTTGCGGTCTTGGGTAGAGCCGTTGCCCTACCAAGCTGTGATGCATCCAGATAGGATGCTTTCTATGGTGCATCAATAAAAGTGAGTAAGAGTCTTTGTGGACATACTGAATTGCCTTAGCCTCCTGAGGAAGTAGAGGCGTTGGTGTGCTTTCTTGGCTGTAGGAGGACAGATTGCTGGTGATGTTTACTCCTTGGAACTTGAAGCTCTTGACCACCTCCACCTCAGCAAAATTGATACAGACAGGGGGTGTCCTCCTCTCCACTTCCTGAAGCCAACGACCAGCTCCTTTGTTTTGTTGACATTGAGGGAGAGATTGTTGTCTTTACACCATGACACTAAGCTGTCTATCTCCTTCCTGTACTCTGTCTCATTGTTGTTTGAGATTAGGACAGGATTAGCTGACCTCATATGCAGTGTGCTTGGCTTTATTAATCGGGACATAGAGTACAACAACAAGAAAGTGATGTTCAACTTGTATTAGATATCTGTTAGATATCAGCTGGAGTACCGTATACAGTTGTGTGCACCACATCATAGGAAAGATGTGAATGCTTTGGAGGGAGAGCAGAAGCCATTTATATGAATGGTTCCAACAATGAGAAACTTCAGTTATGAACATAGATTGAAGAACCTTCAGTTAGGTCTGCTGTCCCTATAGAGAAGAGCTGCGAGAGGAGATTTCATTGAGGTATTCAAAATGAAGAGTGAGCTGGACAGAGTAGATAGGGAGAAACTGTTTCTGCTTGTAAAAGGAACTAGAACAAGAGAGTATAGATTTAAAACAATGTGCAGAGTAAGGTGGCATTGGAAACCCTTTTTCAGAGTGAGTAGTATGGCATGGAATGCCTGGAAAACTGGTGAACGCACATTCAACTGAGGCACTCAGAAGGTCATTGGATGGTTATCTGGACAGGAATAGTTTGCCACAGTAAAGGCAAAAGGCAAGAGATTGACACTAGGTAATGTTGGTTGTTTGAAGGGCACGTACACATACGATGGACTGAATGGTCTCCTTCTGCACCACAACAGTTTAGTGAATCTGTGATGCCTCAGTGGTGGAATAGCATATTTTTGTTTAGGTCAGACCTGAGGACTAGCCACTCGGGCATGTTAGTTGGGTCTTGCCGAGGGAACAGGTCACAAGAAGTCAGACAAGGGAAGTAAAGGATCTGCTAAGAATGTTGAACACACTCAGCTTGACACTGGCACATATTCAGGTCAATTTGAAACAGTGGTGGGAGCTTCAAAGCAGTCACTAGCATGAGCCTTATCTCCCATCCAGTGCCGAGATACAGCATTCAACTCCAACACAGCACCAGCCAGTAGGTGTGTTCTGGATGGAAGGGAAGTGGAGTTGGTCATGAGTCCAAGTGAAATGATTCTAGTGTATCACCTTCACATCTTTAGTGTGGACTCATTCAACATGTCAATCATTCATCATATGCAGGACCTCCTCATAACTGTCCTAAATGTGTCTTTTATTGGTTCTATGGAGGGCAGAATTGGATTCTGTTGTGACAAGGCTTCCCAACCTCACCATCTCCACTGCCCAGAAAAACAGTGCTACAAAGGCATGTGAAAATCATCACTTCCAGCAAGAGGTGCATAGAAAAGGAAAATCGCTGTTTCTTTATTGGTCAAATTGGAGGAGTTCCCGACCTGGAAGAGACTGCGATACTCCCATTGTCCCAGCTCCCAGCTCAGATAGCTCACTAAATGCCTTTGGTCTGAGAATTCAGAGTGTAAGAGGCTGCTTGGACAACTCCAATTCTCATGAAACTCACGACACATAAACAACTCACCCTGATCTCCTTAGAAGCGGTCACTTAGCTCAGTTGACTAAGGTGGTCAGCGTCTGATGCAAAATTATAACAATGCTGTGTGCATGCTGCCTGCACCGGGTGTGGTAGTTCTCAGAGAAAATATCTCCTCACCTTACCCCATGCTTTAAGGTCTTGTGTCACAATAGGTAGCACCCATGCCTCTGGACCAGAGGTTCTGGGTTCGGCTCCCACACCAGAACCCATTGGCCTTGTTCATGATGGTGTCAAACAAGATGGTTGTCAGCCTGTTGTTCTTTCCTGATGGCAGGTAGTAAGAGCAGGAGACCAGGCTGATCAGACAACCAGAAGAAGACAGTGACAAACCACTGCAGTACTGTACCATCGACATGGGCCAATTCAATGAGAATCTATGTCCTACTCTCAGAAACTGGAGATGAGAAAAGGGAGCCAGCTAGCTCCCCAACAAATCTGTATGTGCCTACACATTTATTGTATAATGCTGAATAATTCTGTCTGAAAGAGCTGAGCTAATGCCACTTAAGTGAAATTCCAATGAGCCATGCAATTGCGATCCACTGAGAGCCAGCATCTGCAGAAAATGAGGGGCGACAGCTGAGGCAGCAAGTTGTTCAATGAGAAACTCTCCACACACAGTGTTAAAGCATTTTAATACAAGTTTAATTCCTGTTTTGAAGCATCAATTCACAGTAATGGAACATCTAAATCCTTGTAAGTACATATTCTCTCTGAGTGCATGAGAGCGCTTGACTGAAACCCAGATCTAAGGGGGAAATATTTGGACTAGCTTGCCTTGCAGGAAACTGACACGACTGGATCAGTTTCACAGCCAGTTCAACAAACTGCAGTCAAGGATGTTTCAGAGATAGCAGGAACTGCAGATGCTGGAGA